CTGTGAAACTTTTTCTAAAAAATGATTAAGGTAATAATCCGATTTTAATGAGCCGTACACCGTTGTTCATGGCTTGGAAGCCGCCACAATTCTTACCTTAATAATTTTTTACTCCGAGTTCAAATTCTAGTAGTGACTGTCGGTATCTCGTTTCACATCATACCTAAATTCCAATTTTTTTTAGTCTGTCGAAAAGGCCTTTAAATTCTGTGAAACTTTTTCTAAAAAATGATTAAGGTAATAATCCGATTTTAATGAGCCGTACACCGTTGTTCATGGCTTGGAAGCCGCCACAATTCTTACCTTAATAATTTTTTACTCCGAGTTCAAATTCTAGTAGTGACTGTCGGTATCTCGTTTCACATCATACCTAAATTCCAATTTTTTTTAGTCTGTCGAAAAGGCCTTTAAATTCTGTGAAACTTTTTCTAAAAAATGATTAAGGTAATAATCCGATTTTAATGAGCCGTACACCGTTGTTCATGGCTTGGAAGCCGCCACAATTCTTACCTTAATAATTTTTTACTCCGAGTTCAAATTCTAGTAGTGACTGTCGGTATCTCGTTTCACATCATACCTAAATTCCAATTTTTTTTAGTCTGTCGAAAAGGCCTTTAAATTCTGTGAAACTTTTTCTAAAAAATGATTAAGGTAATAATCCGATTTTAATGAGCCGTACACCGTTGTTCATGGCTTGGAAGCCGCCACAATTCTTACCTTAATAATTTTTTACTCCGAGTTCAAATTCTAGTAGTGACTGTCGGTATCTCGTTTCACATCATACCTAAATTCCAATTTTTTTTAGTCTGTCGAAAAGGCCTTTAAATTCTGTGAAACTTTTTCTAAAAAATGATTAAGGTAATAATCCGATTTTAATGAGCCGTACACCGTTGTTCATGGCTTGGAAGCCGCCACAATTCTTACCTTAATAATTTTTTACTCCGAGTTCAAATTCTAGTAGTGACTGTCGGTATCTCGTTTCACATCATACCTAAATTCCAATTTTTTTTAGTCTGTCGAAAAGGCCTTTAAATTCTGTGAAACTTTTTCTAAAAAATGATTAAGGTAATAATCCGATTTTAATGAGCCGTACACCGTTGTTCATGGCTTGGAAGCCGCCACAATTCTTACCTTAATAATTTTTTACTCCGAGTTCAAATTCTAGTAGTGACTGTCGGTATCTCGTTTCACATCATACCTAAATTCCAATTTTTTTTAGTCTGTCGAAAAGGCCTTTAAATTCTGTGAAACTTTTTCTAAAAAATGATTAAGGTAATAATCCGATTTTAATGAGCCGTACACCGTTGTTCATGGCTTGGAAGCCGCCACAATTCTTACCTTAATAATTTTTTACTCCGAGTTCAAATTCTAGTAGTGACTGTCGGTATCTCGTTTCACATCATACCTAAATTCCAATTTTTTTTAGTCTGTCGAAAAGGCCTTTAAATTCTGTGAAACTTTTTCTAAAAAATGATTAAGGTAATAATCCGATTTTAATGAGCCGTACACCGTTGTTCATGGCTTGGAAGCCGCCACAATTCTTACCTTAATAATTTTTTACTCCGAGTTCAAATTCTAGTAGTGACTGTCGGTATCTCGTTTCACATCATACCTAAATTCCAATTTTTTTTAGTCTGTCGAAAAGGCCTTTAAATTCTGTGAAACTTTTTCTAAAAAATGATTAAGGTAATAATCCGATTTTAATGAGCCGTACACCGTTGTTCATGGCTTGGAAGCCGCCACAATTCTTACCTTAATAATTTTTTACTCCGAGTTCAAATTCTAGTAGTGACTGTCGGTATCTCGTTTCACATCATACCTAAATTCCAATTTTTTTTAGTCTGTCGAAAAGGCCTTTAAATTCTGTGAAACTTTTTCTAAAAAATGATTAAGGTAATAATCCGATTTTAATGAGCCGTACACCGTTGTTCATGGCTTGGAAGCCGCCACAATTCTTACCTTAATAATTTTTTACTCCGAGTTCAAATTCTAGTAGTGACTGTCGGTATCTCGTTTCACATCATACCTAAATTCCAATTTTTTTTAGTCTGTCGAAAAGGCCTTTAAATTCTGTGAAACTTTTTCTAAAAAATGATTAAGGTAATAATCCGATTTTAATGAGCCGTACACCGTTGTTCATGGCTTGGAAGCCGCCACAATTCTTACCTTAATAATTTTTTACTCCGAGTTCAAATTCTAGTAGTGACTGTCGGTATCTCGTTTCACATCATACCTAAATTCCAATTTTTTTTAGTCTGTCGAAAAGGCCTTTAAATTCTGTGAAACTTTTTCTAAAAAATGATTAAGGTAATAATCCGATTTTAATGAGCCGTACACCGTTGTTCATGGCTTGGAAGCCGCCACAATTCTTACCTTAATAATTTTTTACTCCGAGTTCAAATTCTAGTAGTGACTGTCGGTATCTCGTTTCACATCATACCTAAATTCCAATTTTTTTTAGTCTGTCGAAAAGGCCTTTAAATTCTGTGAAACTTTTTCTAAAAAATGATTAAGGTAATAATCCGATTTTAATGAGCCGTACACCGTTGTTCATGGCTTGGAAGCCGCCACAATTCTTACCTTAATAATTTTTTACTCCGAGTTCAAATTCTAGTAGTGACTGTCGGTATCTCGTTTCACATCATACCTAAATTCCAATTTTTTTTAGTCTGTCGAAAAGGCCTTTAAATTCTGTGAAACTTTTTCTAAAAAATGATTAAGGTAATAATCCGATTTTAATGAGCCGTACACCGTTGTTCATGGCTTGGAAGCCGCCACAATTCTTACCTTAATAATTTTTTACTCCGAGTTCAAATTCTAGTAGTGACTGTCGGTATCTCGTTTCACATCATACCTAAATTCCAATTTTTTTTAGTCTGTCGAAAAGGCCTTTAAATTCTGTGAAACTTTTTCTAAAAAATGATTAAGGTAATAATCCGATTTTAATGAGCCGTACACCGTTGTTCATGGCTTGGAAGCCGCCACAATTCTTACCTTAATAATTTTTTACTCCGAGTTCAAATTCTAGTAGTGACTGTCGGTATCTCGTTTCACATCATACCTAAATTCCAATTTTTTTTAGTCTGTCGAAAAGGCCTTTAAATTCTGTGAAACTTTTTCTAAAAAATGATTAAGGTAATAATCCGATTTTAATGAGCCGTACACCGTTGTTCATGGCTTGGAAGCCGCCACAATTCTTACCTTAATAATTTTTTACTCCGAGTTCAAATTCTAGTAGTGACTGTCGGTATCTCGTTTCACATCATACCTAAATTCCAATTTTTTTTAGTCTGTCGAAAAGGCCTTTAAATTCTGTGAAACTTTTTCTAAAAAATGATTAAGGTAATAATCCGATTTTAATGAGCCGTACACCGTTGTTCATGGCTTGGAAGCCGCCACAATTCTTACCTTAATAATTTTTTACTCCGAGTTCAAATTCTAGTAGTGACTGTCGGTATCTCGTTTCACATCATACCTAAATTCCAATTTTTTTTAGTCTGTCGAAAAGGCCTTTAAATTCTGTGAAACTTTTTCTAAAAAATGATTAAGGTAATAATCCGATTTTAATGAGCCGTACACCGTTGTTCATGGCTTGGAAGCCGCCACAATTCTTACCTTAATAATTTTTTACTCCGAGTTCAAATTCTAGTAGTGACTGTCGGTATCTCGTTTCACATCATACCTAAATTCCAATTTTTTTTAGTCTGTCGAAAAGGCCTTTAAATTCTGTGAAACTTTTTCTAAAAAATGATTAAGGTAATAATCCGATTTTAATGAGCCGTACACCGTTGTTCATGGCTTGGAAGCCGCCACAATTCTTACCTTAATAATTTTTTACTCCGAGTTCAAATTCTAGTAGTGACTGTCGGTATCTCGTTTCACATCATACCTAAATTCCAATTTTTTTTAGTCTGTCGAAAAGGCCTTTAAATTCTGTGAAACTTTTTCTAAAAAATGATTAAGGTAATAATCCGATTTTAATGAGCCGTACACCGTTGTTCATGGCTTGGAAGCCGCCACAATTCTTACCTTAATAATTTTTTACTCCGAGTTCAAATTCTAGTAGTGACTGTCGGTATCTCGTTTCACATCATACCTAAATTCCAATTTTTTTTAGTCTGTCGAAAAGGCCTTTAAATTCTGTGAAACTTTTTCTAAAAAATGATTAAGGTAATAATCCGATTTTAATGAGCCGTACACCGTTGTTCATGGCTTGGAAGCCGCCACAATTCTTACCTTAATAATTTTTTACTCCGAGTTCAAATTCTAGTAGTGACTGTCGGTATCTCGTTTCACATCATACCTAAATTCCAATTTTTTTTAGTCTGTCGAAAAGGCCTTTAAATTCTGTGAAACTTTTTCTAAAAAATGATTAAGGTAATAATCCGATTTTAATGAGCCGTACACCGTTGTTCATGGCTTGGAAGCCGCCACAATTCTTACCTTAATAATTTTTTACTCCGAGTTCAAATTCTAGTAGTGACTGTCGGTATCTCGTTTCACATCATACCTAAATTCCAATTTTTTTTAGTCTGTCGAAAAGGCCTTTAAATTCTGTGAAACTTTTTCTAAAAAATGATTAAGGTAATAATCCGATTTTAATGAGCCGTACACCGTTGTTCATGGCTTGGAAGCCGCCACAATTCTTACCTTAATAATTTTTTACTCCGAGTTCAAATTCTAGTAGTGACTGTCGGTATCTCGTTTCACATCATACCTAAATTCCAATTTTTTTTAGTCTGTCGAAAAGGCCTTTAAATTCTGTGAAACTTTTTCTAAAAAATGATTAAGGTAATAATCCGATTTTAATGAGCCGTACACCGTTGTTCATGGNTGTTGGTGTGAATAATTGTGGAATCCTATTTCTTACTCTTTGTTACAATATTTCACATTTAATTTTTGTAAATACAAAATACATAATATATTATAATTTGAAGTATGTAAATATATGTACATATGTATGTACAAATAGCACATGCATAAATTGATTTTATACTCACATCCACTGTATATCCGCCGCTAGCAGGGAAAATCTTCAATGCCGGATTCTCTTTCGGCGTGTAGCGATAAAATTCGCGTCGTCCGCGATACCATTTAACAGTGTATAGATTGTCATATTCCAGGTTGTAATTGCAGATTAAGATAGCATTATCGCCACGTTTAACGGCTGACGGTATAGAGACGCTCACGTTGCTCAACGCTGTGCTGGTGTCTGCGGATGAAAAGATCGAAATAAAGGAAAATCTCGAATGAGTGTTGGTCGTTCGGGGAATGAAATCCATATAAGCAAAGTGAGATGAATAAAAAAAGGTTAAAAAAAAAAACAACCAGAGATGTGTAGATTCGCTTTTGCTCCCTGCTTTCACGCCTGGGCTACATGTACATACATTTGTATATAATTATACTATTCACCAACAGTGTTGCCGTTTTAGCCCTTTGGTGGCTAAATTTGGCTACCATGTTTTGCGATTTCACGTACGCACACCGACATGTGGCGCCACGCACAGCCCAGCCGTGGACACTTCAATTACGTTAATTGATTGTCAGCAATATTATACATCGGATATGCGGAATCGCATTGCAAATTAAAACTGCAGACGAACAACTTTGAAGGCGAGTGTAAGTGAATATTGTTGATAATATGTACATATGTATGTATGTGTGAGAGGATTCGTAAAGGCATGCTCATTAATAATATACACCGAGACAAAGGTGTTTTTGTTTTTTTTTTTCTTAAAATTTTTATCTTTACGAACATATTTGTATACATATTCAGTAGCGTAGGCCGAAAATCTGCTTTTTTTAGAATTTTGATCGGTTATTGGTAATAGCAAATATATGGTTCAATATGCTCTAAAAACAATCTGTGTGAAAGATGACAATTCTCGGTCAATATCTTATTATATTAATTAATGTATTTATTAATTTTTACTTTTTGAGCACATTGAACTTTAATGGACTTGGGCGAGTCCAGGATATTGACCAAAAATTGTCATCTTTCGCACAGATTGTTTTTAGAGCATAATGAACCATATGTTTGCTATTACCAATAAAATTCTAAAAAGCGGATTTTTGGCCAACGCCGAAAAAATGAGGAGCGTTTCTAAATAAATGCCTTCAGGAAAGGATTTTTCAATGAGACCTTCTCTTTGGATGCTTTATTATTTAGATGATCTTCCAATAGCGCTGCTATTCGAATGCAGACGAGAAGGTGGGTTTCCATGGCTTCGAAAGTCAAGTAAAAGAAAAAAAAAACTCACAGTAGACGCATCGTTGCGTGTCTACTACAACGGTAAAATTGCGGTTAAAAAGGTTGCATAGTAAAACTAAAATTTGAATTAGTAATAAGACCACAAGCAGACTCTATATTTGATGACTCAATTACTAAAACTGTTTGTTTCACTGATGATGAAAAGAATAATTTGTTTCCTTCTAAGGTAAGCTGAATCAGAAGGCAGTCTTTAACATCGATAGCGTTGTTTAAAGGGAAGTAAAATTTCCCAAATATGTACATACATATCACCAAACAAAAAGAGAACCACATTAAACTTGAAGAGAAAGCAGGTCATTTCGAAAACTGGGTCAACGCCAAAAACGCCACATTGAGTGCTTGTCCGACAACGTAAACGATCATTTGCTTCGGTAATGTTGTTGCCCGCCGCCACAAAGCACACGTCCACTTAAATTCACATTGTATGTACATA